GTCGGAGCCAGAAGGCGGCTCCATGTCGTCCATTTCGTCCAGGCCGTTAACGTCGCTTGGCGACCTGCAGCTGCACGATCGCGCCTCCAAGCCGATCAACGCGGCGGCCTACTTCGGAGTGAACTCGGTGAGCGGCCAGTTGAGTCTGACGAGAGCCTTGGAGCCGACGGACATCGGACGCATCGTACGACTGACCCTGACCGCCTCCGACATGGCCGAAGTGCCGCTCGAGAGCACCACGAGCCTCTACGTGCTCATCGACGACTCCGTGCCTCAGAGCCAACCGGACGATGAGACCTCGCAGGAGGGCGCATCTTCTCGAGGCGCCGACTTCTCGTTCGCGGGACTCACTTCGCTCGGCAGCAGCGGCTCCATCATCAACTTCTACATCATCATCGCCATCGTGGCGGCCAGTTTCCTCATCTGTACCGTCCTCTTGACGGCCATCTGCGTCGTTCTGCGTCGAGCTCGCCCCGACGCTGGAATGAGTAACATGCAGGCTGGCCTGAGGGCCGCGGATTTGGCGTCGGCGTCGGCGACAGCAACGGCGACCGCGACCGCGACGGCGATGGCAACCTGCGGACCGACGACTCCGGGCGCCGATCTCATCCCAAAGGGGGCCGCCTGCTTCGCTGGGCTCGGCGCCCCTAGAAACGGTCTTCTGCCCCTCCACACTGACGCAGACGGACGCTCAGTCGCCTACTATGACGCAAAGTCGACCGTTTTGGGTAAGCCAGGCGGAGCGAAAGGGCTTCTGAAGACCTTCACCACATTTACCACCTCGCTTGTCCTCTCGCTTGTCTAGCATCATTCGGACTCGAAAGATGAGTGTCAGTGTGCGCGTCTGTCTGCATAATTGTGCCCCATAGTTTCGATGAGGGAGATACCAAACAGGAACTGGTATCAACTTAAGGATCGGTCTTTCGGATCCGCCCCAATTCGTTATCCGGACTGCTTAATTATGTAATTTTTGTCTCCGACAGCTTGTCTGAGTTATGCACAACACATTCTACGCTCTGTTCAATTGCTTGCAGCCAAGGATGTTTTGGTTTCATACTCAGGCATGCGCATAAATGCTCATCTACACGATTCTGTAGCTCGTCCTCCGACCAACAATAACCAAATCAATCTGCTTCCCACAAAAATGTACAACAAGAAGGCGTAGAATATTCTGGACTCCCAGCATTTCTACAAATACTATCCTGCTCTATATGAACGAAATAGTGGGAATACATCTCATTTATATGATCTAATGTGATTCTCTAAAATCTGTTTATAAACAAAAATTAGAGTCAAGTAGTCGCTCGTTATAGATTCCTCGATGATCACACCACAGAATGTGATATGAGAAAATGTCTGGCCTTCCTTGGAATTCACATTCGCCCTGTGATCGAAGAACACTCGTGGCAATGTGACGTAGCAGTAAACGTATCGAGATTATGCGCCTCACTGCCAGTAACTGGGTTCGAGTCCCGCTAGGGGTGTTGATACGACCCGCTGAAACCTTCCGAATGCCTTTAATTCCACTCGGTTGGTAACATCAGAGCACGATTGATGAGTCAAGCGAACTCCACATGCAATGCGTATACTCTGACCCTGTGAATTTGTGTAGGACATAGAGTGTGTTGACCAATTGTCGCATTTTAATCTGGCAACATGTGCTCATGTGTGCTTTTCGGCCTAATGCAATCATGTGATCCAAGAAAACTCGTGGCAGTGTGACGTAGCAGTAAACGTATGGAGATTATACGCCTCACTATCAGTAACCGGGTTCGAGTCCCGCTAGGGGTGTTGACGAGACCGAGGCGATATCGAAGCTACAGTTCTCTCCTGCCTGGATGGGAATACCTTTTGGGAAAGCAAGGTTATGTGAAATTTAGGGCAAACGTAAAATCTACCGATACCATCGAAGGAAATTCAACTGGTATTCCTTCATCACCTTTAGCGAAATAGCGTGAATAAATCTCAAAAACCTGCCTTGTAACTATCCTACTCTGACGGTTTCTTATTTGATGTATTAAGAGGCAAAGCCTGAGCACGTTTTTCCTAAAATGGAGAGTCAAATGGCTGAGAGTGATATCCACAATCTTCTTCCTTACGGGATAAGCATGCGAGACTAGCTTCGAAGGTTTAGAGTGCAGATTGATAAATCAGAACTTGGTAACTTAACGACGGATAATTAAGTTTTTCTACAATATGATGAGACGGACTTATGATACTACTGAATTCAACTTATCCCAGCTTCTAAAAAGAATAACCTCGTTCAAGCTGAATTGTAGTCTCGACCTCGCCCAGATTTCATCCGCACCCACAGCGGGACTCGATACCGAGTCGTGAGTATGATGGAGACGGTGAATCATAGAAAGGATGCAACATTCAGGGCAAGCCAGACCTATCCAAGATCACATTTTAATGGAGGGAGTGTCGATTTAGCAAACATGTGTTTGCTATTGCAATCGACGACGTTAACTATCTTCGATATAGTTCGGATGACCTTGAGTTGCTATGTTAGCACTCACCAGTTATTGATAGTCATGAAGCATACTTTACTCGACGATAGACTTCGTAACGCATGACTATGAAAAAGAGGTAAAAGTGAATCAGAGTCGAGTGATGGGCAAGCTTGGTGTGCTCAGAGTGGGGGCAAGTCGACAAAATGTGACTAGTAGAAACGAGAAAAACAGGACGACGCATCCTTTTGTGACGCACGTCAGCTCTACTTGTTCGAGTGACCTGCTCAAATTGTCGAATTCTCCGTTTCAATGGAGCAACCGGTGAACGGGTTTCATAAAGCGACTCGTGAATCTGCTGCCCACAAGACGATATTGGATTGCTCTTGACCCGCTGAAGCCTTCCGAATGCCTGTAATTCCACTTGGTTGGCAACATCAGAGCACGATTGATGAGTCAAGCAAACTCCACATGCATGGCATATAATGTGAGTCTGTGAATTTGTGTGGGACATAGAGTGTGTTGGCCAATCGTCGTATTTTCATCTGGCAACATGTGCTTATGTGTGCTTGTCTGCTTAATGCAATCATGTGTAGGCATGACT